CGTGGTCGTAATTTTGTCGGTAGTGGCAGTCGTAAATTCTTGGTGTCCAGAAGGACTAGTTGCCCCGCTGTCATTGTAATATCCCGTCGATGTAAATCCGCATACCGTCGGGCAGTTGCGTTCGCCTTGCGAATAAGTTCGACAGCTTTGTCTCGGGCAGTCTGTAGGTCTTCGACGAACTGCTGCGATCGTGGTACTTGACTCTCAACGTTGGTGGAGATCGGCACTGTAGGGTCCATCCCGTAATTGAGGTAAAACGGGGAGTGATTAGTCGTAGCTGAGGGCGCGTTGTTGTAGGAAAATTCCAACATGGGCAGCACGTCTTCCCATTTTTTCCGGTCGGGGCAGTTTGTCCGAATCAGCTGCTCCATCGTTTGATTTGTCCTTTCTGTCTGGCCGTCCGTTTGGGGATGATACGCGGATGAAAAATGTAGAGGCGTGCCGTACCGAGCCCACGTGTCCTGCCAGAATTTTGACGTGAACTTCGGATCTCGATCGCTAATGATTGCTGCTGGTATCCCGTGTAGTCGAACGACGGTCGAGATGAACAGGCGCGCTGTTTCTTCGGCTGTGATGGTTGTACGACATGGTGCGAAATGCGCCATTTTCGTCAATCGGTCGACGACAACCAAAACCGCGTCGTTTCCGCTAGATCCGGCCGGTAGTCCCGTAACGAAATCCATCGTTACGTGTTGCCATGGGTGTTGAGGTGGCTCGAGGGGCTGCAACAGTCCTGTTGGTCGCTGGTGTGAGGATTTCATTCGCTGGCAGATCGGACACGCGGCCACGTAACGCTGCACGTCCGTCACCATATCTGGCCAGTAATAAAACCGCTGCAGCGCCTTCAGAGTTTTATCAACCCCGAAATGTCCCGATAAATTCGAATCGTGGACTTCTTGAATTAGTAATTCGCGAAGTAGACGATAACTTGGGACCCAAATTCGATCTGTTCCGCTTCGTAAGTAATAGACGCCTTTCCGTGTAGTGATTGGGAGATGGCCGTCGTTTACGAAGAAGGGGTCAGTCGAATACCCGTGGGTAAATAGTCCACTCAGTAGCGGGTTGCTCTGGGCGACTAGTACTGATGCGAGTTGGGCAGATGGTCTGGAAAAGGCGTCGGCGATATTGTTGGCGCCCTTTTTGTACGTGATCTTGTACGTGAAATTCGACTCCAAATAGTCCAGCCAGCGTATCTGCCGCGGGTTGAGATTCGGCTGCGCCCGTAGATACTGTAATGATTTGTGATCGGTTCGCACCGTCACGTCTGCTCCAGTCAGGTAGCACCTCCAGATTTTGAACGCGTGGACGATCGCCAGCATCTCCTTGTCGTGTACCGGGTAGTTGCACTCAGCAGATTGCATTTTCCGAGACTCGTACGCAATTGGTTGAAGCCCGTTGCCGAAATCTTGCATGAGCACTGCTCCGATGGCGATGTCACTTGCGTCGGTGATGACTTCGAAGGGCCGTTCCGGGTCAGCGATGCGAAGTACCGGTGGCGACATTAAAAGATTTTTTAATGCCTCGAACGCAGCTTGCTGCTTCTCCCCCCACTCGTAAAAAGTCCCCTTCTGCAGTAGGTCGGTTAGAGGTCCAGTTAACCCCGCCATATTGGGTATAAACCGCCGCACGTAATTCACGAAACCCAAAAATGTTTGCAGCTGCTGCAGATTTGTGGGCGGTTTCCACTCCTGAATAGCCCTGAGTTTTTTCGGGTCTATTCGAATCCCTTCCGTGGAGATCACGTGCCCCAGGAACTCTAGTTCTTGTTTTAAAAACTCGCACTTGGAGCCCTTGGTGATGAGTCGATGCTGCTGCAACCGCTGAAAAACTGCTTCCAAATCTTTTAAATGCTGCTCCCGGGTCTTGCTGTAGATCAGGATGTCGTCCAGGTAAACTATTATGCATTTGTCAAGTAGATCGCGGATCACCCCGTTCATGGTGAGTTGGAACGTCGAGGGGGCGTTCGTTAATCCAAACGGCATCACCGTGTATTCGTAACTCCCATAGCAAGTACGAAACGCGGTCTTGTGGCAATCGTCAGCGAACACTCGAATTTGATGGTAACCGCCACGAAGGTCGATCTTCGAGAAGTAGCGAGCTCCGCGAAGGTTGTCGATCAGTTCGTCCGTTCGTGGGATTGGGTAGCGCGATTTAATCGTTACCCGATTAAGGGCGCGATAGTCCGTACACATGCGAAGTCCGTCGTCCTTTTTTTGGCGTGAACAGGATCGGTGCTGCGAACGGGGACGTGCTCGGCCGAATGAATCCTTTCGCCAGCAGGTAGTCCAACTGGTTCCGTAACTCCTGTAGCTCCGGCCGAGTCAGGCGCCATTGCGTGCGTACAGTAGGCTGCGCACCGGGCTCCAGCTCGATTTTGTGGTCCTGGGGTCGTTCGGGTGGCAGTCCACTTGGCAAGTCATCCGGGAAAATCTCAGGATATTCTCCAATGATTTTCGCCAAGTCATCCGGGACCGAGGCGCAGAGTTTGTTGATGTCGGTCGCCTCATTCTCCTCCGTCGATTCGGTTAGATGGACGGCGTATAACTCCGCTCCATTCTTGACCGCTCGCTTGAGGCACACCGCGTTGACTCGTGTCGATGTTGTCTCTGCTTCCGGCCACGTGGGTAATTTTTGCCAACCTTTGTCGCACTTCACTGTGCACTCGCCTGTTGTCCAATCGATCTGCGGGTTGAATCGTCGCAGCCAATCGCGTCCCAATAGCACGTCGTAGCCGTCGAGCGTTGTCGCCAGCATCGGCGCGCTGAAACCAAAATCGTCGCCACACTTCATTCGAACGACAGGTACTTTGTCGCGTATCGCCAGCGGGGTGCCGTCCACCAATCGCGCGTCGATTTCGGGTAGACACCGCCCCAGCGTCAGGTGTAGTCGTCGTGCTGTCTCTCGATTTATCAGGCTATGACTCGCACCTCCGTCGATGAATATTTTTATTTTTCTCCCGTTGAGTCGTCCTTCCGCCAGTACAGGGTGGTCCACTGGGTCATCCCCCTTATTCAGCCGGGAGCGGTTGATAGCATGTATCGGAACCACTACTCGGTGGGGATGGTTTTTTCGGGCGATGAGGCAGGGTCAGTAGGGGGCCCGACCGCTACTGACGCTTGGCGTTTCCCGACCTGTCCTCGTCGTTCTTCTTTATCTGCTTCTTTCGGGGGCAATCGTGAGATTGGTGACCCGGCTGGTGGCAGTTGAAACATTGTCCCTTGCGAAAATCGTCCATGTGCTCCTTCGCCACTACGCCGTGAATCGTGGGCCGTGGATTCTGGCCACGAAAACGATTTCCCTCCCGGGAACCCGCTCTCGCATACGTCCGATGTGCGTCGAAGTTGTCTGCGATCCGAACGGCTTCGTGAAACGTCGCCGGCAGTCGCAGTCGGACCTCGCATTTAATGTCCTGCTTCAAACCCGAAATGAATCGAGCTTTCTTCTCGGAGTCATGCATGTCGGTGATTTGATCGCATAACGCCATGAAGACCGACGCGTAATCCTGGACAGAACTCCACTGGCGCCAGTTGTCCAGCTTCGTGCGTGCGTTGTCCGAGGCGGATATTGGCTCGAAACGTTCACGCAGAGCTGTACCCCACGCCTTCCACGTGCGAATCTTGGTCGATCCAAAAATCGCGGTTGACCCTTGGGCAGCAGACCCAAAGTTTCCGAAAAACCCCTGTGTGTCGCCTGCCGAAAACTCCCCCTCCTGTAGAGTATATCGCCACCAATCTAGCACAGGTCCCCGCAGTAGTGATACAGCCAGTCGAATTTTTAACTCGTCAGCAGTGATCCCAGCGGCATTAAAATAAAGTTCCGCCGAAAATAACCAGCCCGTAACAGTAGTATTCTTATCTGTGGGGTTGAACGGGGGCGGCATTGTCGGTTTGATTGTCGCTGTCGTCACGATCGGCATAAACGCCGGTGCGGCTACAGTAGCTGCTGCTTCTGACCGAGCGGCTGCTGCTGTCGCTGCTGCTGCTGCTGTTGCTGCTTCGGCTGCTGCTCGTGCTGCCACGTCAGCTGCTGCAACGGCTTCACTGTCCTTGCGCTCCTGTGACACCTGACGTGCGATTTCGTCCAAGACGGTTTCGACAGGTCCGGTGCTGGCGACCTCCTCTTGGGCGGCAATTTTCTGACGCGAATCCTCTCGCGCCTGGCGTAACTCAGCAACTTCCGCACGAAGTCGCTCGTTGTCCTCCAGCACTGTAGCCATGCGTGTGTTCATGGCGTTGAACTGCTCCCGAAGCTCGTTGAACTGAGCCTGGTCCATTTGGCGAATGCTACGCCGGGGCAGGGGGAATTCCGTCGTGTGCCTGTACTCAGGTAAGCGCAAACGCTATCGTAGTTGGGCGAATTGATCAATCTAATTCGCGAGCAACCGCTTTGCAGCTTACGTGAGGGACCTACCCCCCCCCAAAAAAAATCAACTCACGAAGACGGGTGAGCGAGGAAAGTGGCTCTGAATGCCAGGTGTTATGAATGAACAAGCAGAGTAGCGCGGAAATGAATAACGAAGTGTTCACTCAATGAATGACGATACAAGGAATGGCAAGCCAAGATATAGGAACACCAGAGCTAGTCTAACCATGCGATGGGAAGGTTCGGGAAGGAGATCGAAGGGTCTCGAAGTGACGAAGCGAGGCCTGGAGAACTCCCGAAGGTCGAACCGAAAGGTCTGGAAAAGCCGAGGCGGTTCTGTCAGAAGGTCTGGAACAGTCCCGAGGCTTCAGGTGTGTTCGAGCGTACGCGATAGCAGTACCGCTCGGTAAGGAATGGAAATTTCCTTACACAGTTATTATTCATAACACGAACTCTCGCCGAGCTCACACCAAGGCAACTTGGTAACCCTGTTGGCCCTTGAGAGAGGGAAGCTTGGCTAGCGCAATAAAGTGATTGGCCGAGCGACAGCCCGACGATGAAGGTGGTCTCCCTGCAGCAAAACAACCACCCACCCCACCAAGATTCAAAGTCCCTTGGACTTCATTATGCACTTACATGCCATGACTGGGTGCCCCACTATTCCCGTCTAGCCAGCATAGCCCACGCCGCGACGTCGCGAAAAAACAGCGAGATTGGGAGAGGCGAGAACCACTGTCGGTTATTCAGCGGCGCCGCCCAACACCTAGGGTTCGAAACAAGTATCGCGTCCACCCCACGCGCCACTCCGTTAAGGGCGCAGAGCCAAGATCTCGCCCAGCCCATGCCTAGCACCTCCACATTTCGCAACTAGCCTGCACCCAACCGCGCGCCTGACAACTGCCCCTAGGACTCGCCCACGCAGCCCTGCCTGCACGCGCCAAGCTCCACCGAATCCGCGGTCCGCGATCCTGAAATGAGTAGGTCCAACATCCTTGTGCGCGCCTAGCCGCACCAATACCTGCCGCACTCAGCGCATTGCCCACCCTGCTCACGCGCCTCCACCCTCATCCGCGCAGTTGCCGCAAGAAACCCCGGCTCCACGACGCCATCCCTTCCACACCCACCTCCGATCCCCTGCCCTGCTCCAATCTCCGCCTGCGCCCGCTCCATTCCTCGCCTTTCCCCGCACCAATCCCCACCGCACCCTGCTCCAATCCCCGCCTTTTCCCGCTCCAAACCCCTCCTTGCCCCGCTCCAATCCAGACGGGGGGACAGGGAGAGTGAGAGAGGGAACGGAGGGGACGGGAGGGTGGTGGGGGTGGGGGGTTGGGAAACAGTAGGGTGGCAGGAGATAGGGGGAATGCGGATGCTTGGGGGGGGGGGGAAATGAGGGCCCTGGAGGGGCGAATGAGAGCGAGAGGGGGGGTGGGGGGAGTGCGATGGAGGCGAGGAAGGGGCGCACAGCCGCACTCACCAGAGAGGTCACCGCGACAGCAGACCAGCCTTCGATGGTCGATTTCCCCAACCCATGCATCTCCGATGGCATTCCCCTTCTCCCATGCTCCCTCCCCATCTCCCATGCTCACCACCCTTCTCCCATGCTCACCCCCCTTCTCCCATGCTCACCCCCCTTCTCCCATGCTCACCCCCCTTCTCCCATGCTCACCCCCCTTCCCCTTCTCCCAGGCTCACCCCCCTTCCCCTTCTCCCATGCTCCCTCCACGTCTCCCATGCTCACTCCCTTTCCCCCATGCCCTCAACCCGTGCCCTCACCCCTTCTCCCATGCTCCCTCCCCCTCTCCCATGCTCACCCCTCTTCTCCCATGCCCTTATCCCCTCTCCCATGCCCTCCCCCATTCTCCCATGCTCCCTCCCCCTCTCCCATGCTCACCCCCTTCTCCCATGCTCCCTCCCCGTTTCCCATGCTCACTCCCCTTCCCCCCCCATGCCCAAACCCTGTGCCCTCACTCCGTCTCCCATCCTTACCCCCCTTCTCCCATGCTCCCTCCCCCTCTCCCATGCTCACCCCCCTTCTCCCATGCTCCCTCCACGTCTCCCATGCTCACTCCCTTTCCCCCATGCCCTCAACCCGTGCCCTCACCCCTTCTCCCATGCTCCCTCCCCCTCTCCCATGCTCACCCCTCTTCTCCCATGCCCTTACCCCCTCTCCCATGCCCTCCCCCATTCTCCCATGCTCCCTCCCCCTCTCCCATGCTCACCCCCCTTCTCCCATGCTCCCTCCCCGTTTCCCATGCTCACTCCCCTTCCCCCCCATGCCCAAACCCTGTGCCCTCACTCCGTCTCCCATCCTTACCCCCCTTCTCCCATGCTCCCTCCCCCTCTCCCATGCTCACCCCCCTTCTCCCATGCTCCCTCCACGTCTCCCATGCTTTATCCCACCCCCTGCTGCACCTCACCCCCTTCCCACCCCACCCCTCCCTCAACCCCCACTCCCCCTTACCTCCTTCCCTCCCCTCCCCTTCTCTGTCCTTCCATGCGTACACGAGCAAGAGTGGGTGTGGCAGCACCCCCCCTTGCCTGCCACCTCCGTGTTTCGCATATTGCCCTCATCTCTCCCCCCCCTTCTCCCCACCACACCCGCATCCCCTGCTCTCCCGCCCTCCTGCTCTCCCGCCCTCCTGCGATCCTACCAACCCCCCCCCCCTGCTCTCGCGCTCTCCAGCCGCCCTGCTCTCCCACTCTCCCTCTCACCTGCTCCCCCTGTCTCCTGCTCTCCCACTCCCCCTGCTCTCCTGCTCTCATGCTCACCCGCTCTCATGCTCTTCCGCTCACCTTCTCATCCATAAACTCTCCCGCTCTCCCATGCTGTATCCCACCCCATGCTGTATCCCACCCCATGCTGTATCCCACCCCATGCTGTATCCTCCCCCATGCTGCACCCCCCTCCCATGCTGCATCTCAGCATGGAATTATGGGTTGGGTGGGCTGTTGGAATTATGATGCCTCTTGGTTGTAACAATGGGATAGCTTGCTCCCTATAAAGGTGTCAAAGTACAGGGTGTGTCCTGTGTGCTGGTTGTCGTTGATTCATATAATAAACATGATCCGAACAAGCGCATGAAATAGCAGCACAAGTCTATGTGAACACGGTTTAGAGGGCATCTCCTACGCATGGAGCGTCAGATGCACGGGACTCGCAGGCAGATCCGCTCCAACACAAGTGTGCGACCAACAATCTAAACTGCCACAATTTATGTGGCATCGGTTGCACTACCACTCTCAAAGCGATGTCACCCGCGGTTATCGCAACGCATGGCAGCGAGCTGGGCTCTGAGGCTGCCTGCGAAGGAGGAAGATGAAAGCAAGGGGGCATTGGTTGGTCATGAGAGAGGGGTCTGCCGGATGGGACTAAGCGGGATAGGTGGGCATTGAGGAGAGGTCTGCCGGGTGGGACCATGGGCAAGAGGGGGAGGGGGGGGGATGCAGCATGGGGTGGGATGCAGCATGGGGTGGGATGCAGCATGGGGGGGAGATGCAGCATGGGGTGGGCCTGCCAGCTTGGCGTGGGATGCAGCTCGAGGAGGGATGTAGCATGGGAAGGGATGCAGCATGGGGTGGGATGCATCATGTCCCATGCTGCAGCAAGGGGAGAGTAGCACCATGAGAGGTGGTGCATCTTAGAGGGCGGGGTGATGCAGCATGGGGTGGGATGCAGCATGGGGGGGGGGGGGGGGGGGGGGGGGCTCGAGCATGGGGTGTGCTGCAGCATGGGAAGGGATGCAGCATGGGGTAGGATGCAGCATGAGGTGGGAATGGGGTGGGATGCTGCATGGGGACGCATTGAGCAGAGGTATGCCGGTCCGGACCATGGGAGATGGGAAGGCATTGATTAGGGGTCCTCCTGATGGGCAGAACCTGCCGAGGTCACTTGAATGGCTGGCGCCCACTCGAGCAGGGGCCGCGCTTGACGGTCAGCCGTTTAGCAGCCTTGGTAGTTGGTGACGTCACCTATGGGGGGGGGGGGGAAAGAGGGAAGGGGGGGGGGGGGGAGGGAGGGGGGGGGTTTGGTGGGTAGGAGGGAGCCAAAGTTTGGGAGATTGTGGATATGGGGGGGCAATGAACATGTTAGAGGTGCTCTAGGTTATGCACCTATGCCACAAGCGATGGCAACTTAGAGAGACTGGAGCACGCTACTAGGGTTCAGGAACTCACCAAGAGCTCGCCGCACGCCTGAAGACGCCCTGTGTCGCTCCCCTCTTCGCTGTGAATCATGCGATGCGGAGCGTGGTGGTGTTGACAATGTGGGGCCAGGCACTGCTATGTGGTTGGGAGTCTCCATACGCGGACGTGACCGCGGCCTCCCGTCTGCTCCCTCATCATTTGGGGGAGACTGCTCTTCCTTGTCCTCGCTGCCCTGCCACTCGTCCATGATCCGATCGACCCACGTCCAATCCATGGGACCAAGCGTGTGGGAGTTTTTACCGCGTCGGATCCGAGTCACCTGCGCCACCCGCGTCACATACACGGTGACCAAACGATCCTGACAGTTGTTCCAATGCAGCACTGCGAGTCCAGTCCGTGCCCGGAAGCTACCCCGTAGACGAAGCTGTTTCGGTGCGTACTTGCAGATGAGAGAGTGGAACGACTCATTAAGGGAACTGCATGCTCCCTGACGAACAGCCTCAACACCACAGTGCTTAGACAGCCACGCCCGCACTGCTTTGTGTGTCGCCGACTTTGCCGCATAAATAGCGCTCTGCTCTCCCCACAGCTCAGTGACACAGTGCGGTGTCACCACCCCGGCCCTAGAACACCGTCCATGCAGCCCTGCCCAACGGTCCGCTGCCATGCACAACTCCTCCGACACAACCTCAGGACTAAGCGGCAACCCGTCCCGCCTCTCCACACCGCACTGCATCATGACGTGATAGAAGTGGATCACGAACCGTTGTGCCACTGTGATCTCCTCATCGCAACCCCCCTCCACGTCCCCTGCTGACGAGGGTGTCTTGTGACGCTTCTGCCGTTCCGTCCACCGCGGCAGCTGTCCACCGTCCACCACCTCGACGACCTCCCCTACTCCATCCCGTGCACATGGCAATGTGGGTGAAGACGCTGCACTGATGCCCTCCCCACCCGGTGCTCCATGGTCAAGTTCAGTCGCTGGCAGTGGGGAGAGGTGGGCGGGGACGAGAACGCAATAACAAAACATTGGCATGTAGCGTGAGGCGGTCAACCATGCAAAAAGAGACTAGTGGCATAACGGTTATGGTGGAAACTCACGTGGCGGTGCTGGCCGCTCTTGCCATGGCCGTGCTTCACCAGTGAAGTGTGGCGCCATAGCGGTTCCAGAATGGGCCAGCACCATCAGCATGGACGCCTCCGACGCAGGACTCACCCCCCGTGAGTGGTGTGCGTCCCAACCCCACAAATCTTCCACGTCCAAACGTAGCACCTCGACGCTAACGGATCCCTCCATATGCGCGGCCACATCCTCTCTCACCCGGTATGTGTCGCTTGCGCTGCTGCTAGAGTCACGGTGGCCTCCCGCAGCAGCTGCGTACGAGAGCGGGACCTCCACGGAGGACCCATCACCACACACCCGCAACACCTTTCTAAGCTCTGGGTACTTGTATTTCGCATCCTCCGGCCTCATCTCCACATACCTAAACTTGCCTAGTTCCGCGCACGCATGCTGCACTAGCGTCTCCTTTAACGCTGCCTTAGACTCTTTAATTTTCTTGCGAGATCTCAAAAACTCTCGTAGGCTATCGACGCTACACACCCACAGATTTTCTATGACTTTCGCGTCTGCTACTCGCACGACTGCACGCACCGCATCTTGTAGATCTCTTATAAAGAGCTTCCACAAAAACTGTTTCACATGCCACCAATCCACCTGGTGATTCAATCCCCAATCGTTCGCCGCACCCCTGAAGGAGCTACCCTGGTCTGAAATAATCCCGCACACTACAAACCCCTTCACACCCAGCTTCTGCATGCCACGATCAAACGCAATCCGCTCTAGCCTTACAAACGACCGATCGTCAACTCCCTTTTGTGTAACCATGACATGTAGTATCTTGCACATACGCTCATCCATAAACGAAACTGTGCACCACTCGCCGTCTCTGACTTGTAACCACCTACCCTCTACGCACACAAAATCACCCGCATCGTCCCGCGTGAGAATCTCTCGCCGCACATCTTCCATGGATTTTTCTGCCTCATGCGCAATTGTCTCCCATAAGCCATTCTCTCCCGCTAGGTGCTTGTAGAAAGTACGCTTACATGGACTCGGCAGGTGAAAGTTCCGACCGAACTCCCACATCTGCTGGTAGCCCATGCCAGCGAGGGCAAATGCGCCCAAAAATTTAGACTGTTGTGCTGGAATGCAAGGACCCCTTGTCCGACGTCCTCCCTCAAAATCCCTACGGGTACAGGTCTTGAACTCGACTGTATGGTCACATTCCATGCAACCCTAGTGCAGTCCCCACAATGCCCAAGACCGCTGCCACGACCGCAGCTGCATAACCCCACTGCATACTGCATTGTGCGCGCAAACCATCCGACAGCCCTGGAAGAAGCCTACCATGTGCCGGACCTCCACCAAGCCCACGGCCGTGCCATCGAGATCCTCAAGTCGCGGGGATGGATCCCATAGCGGCGGGACGAATCAGCGGTCGTTCAGGCATCTCTCGGGTTGGTGAACTGATCCGTTCGCCCTAAAAATCGGGGAGATGATGTTGTCGGTCACATGGGCGGGGAGGGGGTTGTAGTGTTGAGGGTGGGTTAGGCATTAATGGGCAAAGTATACATGCGGCCCATACGAGGGGTGATAAAACTCTATCACTAGCACCCTGCCAAAGTACTGTCGGTTTAGCCCGTACTCACGTGCAAGTGGCCGACGTCAGCTCCCCCACCGATTGAGTGGTCGGCGGCCTAGGCATTGCCGAACTCGTCCCACCTCTCGAGGTTGGTTGCGCATGCATCCTGTTACAAGGGGATTCACACAGGAGGGGTGATGCGAACGTGCAATACGTAAGCATCTCCCACTATATGTGCTTGCTTCACAACCTCAAACATGGCTCTCCGGCTACATTACCTAGCCAGAGGGGCCCCCACCGTCGACCTGGTGGGGGCAGGTGCGGGCAGCGGAGGTCGTGCTGGAAGGGGGGCTGGCGACGGAGGTGGAGGAGGTGGTGGAGGCGGGGGTGACGCGGGAGGCGAGGGAGGCGGCCGCGGGGGAGCTGAGGGAGGCGGGGGAGGGGGGGGCGGCGGGGGTGGCAGGGGAGGCAGGAAAGGCAGGGGAGGCGGGGACGGGGGGGATGGCATGGGCATAGGGGACAGCCGTGCAGGGGGAGGCGGGGGCGGCGGGGGTGGCGGGGTCGGCAGGGGCACTGCCGTCGACCCCACCAGCCCTACTGGGTCATCACCCTCGGTAGCATCGACCTTTGCAGTGCCGTCCCCCGCGTCAGTGGCACACCCGGCTACGGGCATGGAAAACAAGGGTACGAGGGGCACGAGTGCTGAGTTTAGTTGCATGGTGCATAGGCATCGCTACCCTGCTCCCCCATAAGCCACCCATTGCCGTTCGTCCCCACCACATGTCCCCTCACGTTCTCACCTTTGTCCGCCTCGTAGGCCTTGCCCTTCCACCTACCATCCCATCCACTCCCGCTAGCCTTTACGTAGCGTCTGTCCGTGGTCCATTTGTACCGCGGGAAGCCGAAATTCACCCCGGGCAGAGCCCCTGTGGTCCGTGCTAGCAATTCATCTGGTGTGGCTGGTCCTCCACTAATGCGGCTATTGAAGGTATTCCGATATGCCTTGATGTGCTCTTTTATCAAGGAGGCGGCAGCCTTAGCGTCGTCCTTCGGGACTGTCAATTTGGCAGTGCATGATGATGGCATTGGTAAGATGAAATGATAAAATACGAGCATGTGGGCTCCCCCAAGAAATTGGTGTGACAAAGCGTACACCCTTAGCATCAACCAAGGTTCTAGAATACAACTGCTAGTATCCAATCTTGCAACCCCAAGCATATGCACACACATGCTCCAGCCTCTCACCTGCATTCCACGCTGCCTCCTCCAAGCTCTTGATCGCCAGGGGTGCATGCTGTGCTAGAAAATACAGCAGGTCATCCATAGATGCAGGCCTCTCTGACATCCTGCATTTTGCCGTCAACCCAACCCGCCACACTCCGGACGGCGGTCTCATGTGGCTGGTGATGGCCACGGTGCCCCGAGTAGCCTCCAGCAGAGCTTGCTGTGCAGGATACTGTCCATTTCGTACCCACACTACCATCGCCCGACCTGTTGGTAGTCGCCAAAAGACCAGACAGGCGCGTACCCCAAAGCGGGACACGAACTGTGTTGATGGGAAGGGGGGGAAAGGATGGGCATAAATGAATTTGGATGGGGTTTCAATGCATGTGCTCGCTCGTCTGGGGGAGTCCCGCCCAGGGGGGATGTGAGTTCTGCATGGGGGGATACGGGGTCCAGGCAGGGGGAGAAGACACGATTTGGGATGGGGGCAGATGGGCTCAGGGAGGGGGGCAGGTTGGCTCTGGTTGGCTGGGGATAGGGAGATCGGACAGGGGGGGAGCATGGTGAGCTGTTTGGGGGGGATTGTTGGCTTATACCTGGGGAGATGAGCTTAGAGAGGGAGGGAAGGTGAGCTCAGATAGGGGGGAGAATCCTGCTGTGGTGTGGGGGGGAGGTGGGGTCAGATAGGGGGAGATATGAGCACTGGTTGGGAGGGGGAGGTGAGCTTAGTCAGGGGAGGAGGGTGAGCACAGACAGGGGGGAAAGTCCCGCTGTGGTGTGGGGGGGGAGCTGGGCTCGGACAGAGGGGAAGATGAGCCGTGGTTTGGGGGGGGGAGGTGGGTTCACAGAGGGAGGGAAGGTGAGCTCAGACAGGGGGGGAAGTCCTGTTGTCGTGTGGGGGGGGAGGTGGGCTCGGACAGGGGGGAAGATGAGCCCTGGTTGGGTGGGGAAGGTGAGCTGAGCGAAGGATGGGAGGTGAGTTCAGACAGGGGGGAAAGTCCCGCTGTGGTGTGGGGGGGGGGTGGGCTCATACAGGGGGAAATATGAGCCCTGGTTGGGAGGGGGGTGTGAGCTCTGTCAGCAGGGGAGAGTGAGCCCAGACAGGGGGGGAAGTCCCGCTGTTTGGGGGGGGGGGAGGTGGGCTCGGATAGGGGGAAGATGAGCCCTGATTGGGAGGGGGAGGTGTGCTCAGAGAGGGAGGGAAGGTGAGCTCAGACAGGGGGGGAAGTCCCGCTGTGGTTTGGGGGGGAGGTGGGCTCATACAGGGGGAAATATGAGCCCTGATTGGGAGGGGGGTGTGAGCTCAGTAAGGGGGGGAGGGTGATCTCAGACAGGGGGGGAAGTCCCGCTGTGGTGTGGGGGGGGGAGGTGGTCTCGGACAGGGGGGAAGATGAGCCCTGGTTGGGAAGGGGAGGTGAGCTCAGAAAGGGAGGGAAGGTGAGCCCAGACAGGGGGGGAAGTACCACTTTGGTGGGGTCACAGAGAGAGGGGGGAGGTGAGCTCTGTTTTGGGGGGAAGGTGGGTTTAGGCAGGAGGAGAAGGTGAGCTCTGGCTTGGGAGGAGGGTGTGGTCAGACTGGGGGGGAAGTTGAGCTTAGACAGGGGGGAAGTCCCGCGCTGGTGTGGACGGGGAGGTGGGCTCACTCAGGGGGGGAGGGTGAGCCCAGACAGGGGGGAAGTCCCGCTGTGGTGTGGCGGGGGAGGTGGGCTCGGACAGGGGAGAAGATGAACCCTGGTTGGGAGGGGGAGGTGAGCTCAGTCAGGGGGGGAGATTGAGCTCCGACAGGGGGGGAAGTCCCGCTGTGGTGTGGGGGCACGAGGTGGGCTCGGACAGGGGGAAATATGAGCCCTGGTTGGGAGGGGGAAGTGGGCTCAGTCAGGGGGAGGGGGTGGGCTCAGACAGGGGGTGAAGTCCCGCTGTGGTGTGCCGGGGGAGGTGGGCTCGAACAGGGGGGAAGATGAGCCCTGGTTGGGAGGGGGAGGTGAGCTCAGAGAGGGAGGGAAGGTGAGCTCCGACAGGGGGGGAAGTCCCGCTGTGGGGTGGGGGGGGAAGTGGGCTCGGACAGGGGGGAAGATGAGCCCTGGTTGGGAGGGGGGGGTGAGCTTAATCAGGGGGGGGAGGTGAGCTCAGACCGGGGGGGAGCTCCGGCTCTGGTGTGGGGGGAAGGTGGGCTCAGACAGGGGGGAAGATGAGCCCTGGTTGGGAAGCCGATGCGAAAGATGGGTAGGTGACGGGGAGAAGGCGAGCAGCGAGAAGGGGGAACGGAGTGCATTCCACGGGGTCGGTCTGAGCGCAAGGTGAGAGGGGGGTGGCACGCAAAAGGCTGGGGTGGCGTGTCTGGCAGTGAAGTGCATAGAGGGCATTCTAGGTGCACTGCAACTTGATGCAGATAGCGCACCGTAGCTTGGGTGGGGTATCGTCCGTGGCGCGGAGATCCCGCGGTGCGCAGCGTGACTAAGGGAGCTCCGGCGCTGGGTGTGCACGACGCCGGGGTGCGAGAGGGCCAAGGGTGTGGATTCGATGAGCCAGCTCCGCTAAGGCCACCCGCTAACGGCGTAGTCTCTATTGAGAGTGGCCTACACGGCATGTAGGTTGCAAGTGTAACCTTGGGCACCCTAAGAGTGGTGGCGCATCTCGCATTTGCGCAAAGAGGCTACTTCGTGAGGTTAGCGCGACGAGGAAGGATGGTCATATGAGTGGGCGGCCCTGCTCGGTGAGCAGCGCGGGAGCTATGGCGGCGCATATTTCTACAGCTACGCATGCAGGGCTTCCCTCGCAGGGCTTCCCACGCAGTGTCGCATTTCAAGGGCGTGTTTGCTACCGCTTCCCTCCCGTCTACTCTCATATCCAGTTCACAGAAGTTAGGATGGGTCACAGCCTTGTTTCCGACCCCTAGCTCATTTTCCATGCTGCACCCTCGCATTTCCCCCTCCCCGTCCCGGTTCAAGCGAGCGTGCTTTGTTGGCGCGTTGGGGTCTTTGTGTCGCCAGCCCCGAACCCCTGCGAAATGCCCGTGTTCGCGGGTGTTAGGCATTGGTTGCGAGAGCCCTTCCTTCGCGTGGGGCGTGCAAGATTTTTTTTTAAGTTATTGTATACCCCCTATTTTCGTGACCCCCCTTCAAGGTTCGAAGTCCTCTGAACCTTGAAGTTATTGTATACTTTCGCTTTAAGCAGCCGTGTCGAGTTTACGACTACCCTGGAGCATTGGATTTCTTGGAGTATTACCCTAACAATTGGGAGTTGTTTCTTCTTGGAGGGGGGGAGAGGTGCAGCTGCGCTACAGACTTCATCTGACCCTTCCGGCGTTTCCATCATCCATTTGCGATCCGTCACCGTTACGCTTCCGCGCCTCTGTTCGTCAGTTCGTTGATGGAGTTCGCTGATTTTCGTGAGACACAGACGTGCGCTCTCGCATGTGTCACGAACGACCTCACGTTTTGTGAATGGGTTTTCTTTTCGACAATCCACGTCATTCGGCAATCATCATTTCCATGTACTCATCCTACAGGTCATATGCCTTGTAGGCGACTTCCTTTTACGCCCAGGAGTACCCCATAGGCATTTTATCCTTAAGGGCCTCTCTTTGTACCAGGGCCTCAGATATCAGGATGTTTTATCCTGAATTCCTGATTTTCAGGATGAGTATGAGGTGCCAGACCTGAAAAATCCGATTAAATGAATTTCTGACCCTGTAAATTCAGTATGGTTATCATATGACAACCCTGAGAACTCAGTATAGTGTTCGTGTACCAGCCCTGACTGCTCAGTATGAATTCGAGGATAACCCTGATACCTCGAATCTGGCTTCAGGGGGGGCGCTACGGGTGTACCCCCTGTTTTCTGCCCATAGTTCCATATTTTTCGTGCCAGCGCACATTTTGCCTGTAGATTGTTGCCGCGAAATGACCAGTTTGCCGCGTGCACTGCAAATCCTGTAATTCTGGCCAATAGCGGCTAAGTATACAGCCAGCGCAGCGCACCACAGCCAGGCCTCAGAAGGTGTTGGGGTGCTGCGGTCCACTCGCTGACGCAGCATTGCATGCATGGATGGTTGGACGGCCAACCACTCCATGTGGGGAGGACCAAACTCCCGCGCAGCCATCGCTCATGGTCCTTCCTCCCCACAGCTCCCTTTCATGCCTTGAATCATCCAACCATTCTAGACGATAGAGCTTGTGCTCGCTGGTCTGTTTCTCTGCTGTGAACCGCCCCCTCGTTAGGGGGCACTATGCTTGCGCCAGGATCTGACGACGAGGAGGAGGCTCCCGACGATCCTTCTACAGCGTCCCACCCGGGTGCCGTGACAGGATTAGACTTACTGCGAAGAAATCCTCCCGCATCGGCACCTCCCCCTCGAACGCACACCGCTGAAGTAGTAGAGGAGGCATCTCGCCATGTTGTAGCAACACCACCTCAGCGAAGCACTACGCCCCGCACTTCTTTTAATCAAGGGTCGACCCGTATTGGACCGCCGTCGAAGAAGCTCGAGCCCTCACGCTATCGGCAGGCAACCCTGAGTTTCGGGCGGTCGCAAAACACTCCCGCTCCGACTCTGCACGTCGTCCCTCCTGTTGTTTCAGGACCATCTACAGCTCCGACTTCGTCATCGGACACCGAACTTGAAGACGTGGCCGAACGAAAGTACCAGGAGGCTCTCTGGCAATTTAAAAAGCGGTGGAGTACTGACTTTCCTTGGCTTGTGCTTAATCAGACCCGTGCAGGATTCCCGGCTTTGAAGTGTAAGACTTGCATGGAACATGGCGGGCACGGAACGAACTACGGCAAGGGCGGAGAAGGTGCGACCGACGTCCAGACGCAGGCGATGCAAAACCACCAGCGCACGCGGAAGCACAAGAGAGCGATGCGGAGACAAGCCACCGCCACTGCGATCGCTGAGGGGCAGCTGCGCATGGAGGACTTGGCGAAAACACATACCGTCCAGAGCGAGCGTGTTACTGCACTGCTGGAGACTCTGCTTTTCATCTGTCAGTCCGACGCGCCCATCGAGATGTGGGTGCAACTTGTGCGGCACCTCTCAAAGCGACGTACTCCTGGTTTTCCCAAACGAGGCTACGGGTCTTACTTCACAACGTAAGTCCTTGGGTGTTTTATTCGTTTACTATTTAACATGTGTTGATCTCTCGCATGTACTAATCTCCCTGCATGGTTTGCGCAGGTATGGCTTTCAGGAGTTAACCAAGTCGACAGCCATGTACCTTCGAGCTCGTCAACGGGAGCACTTGGAGTCAAGCCCGTTCATTGGCTTGAGCTGTAACGAGAGTACCGACAGAGTTCGTGGCAAGCACATGATTGTGTTTGCTACTTTCCTTCGCGAGCGCATTGTTGTCACAGAGTTTCTAACGCTTCTTCCTGTCGACAAATGTGATGCAGCTTCTCTGGAAGGCTCTCTTGTTGCTTACCTCGATAGCATCGGCATCAGTCTCTCAAAGGTGTCGGGCATCAGCACCGACGGTGCCGCAGTGATGGTTGGAGCCACGAACGGGGTCGTTGGGCGCCTTCGACAGCGGATCCCGCATGTGGTTTCTGTCCACTGCATAGCGCATCGGTTCGTTCATGCATAGACTTCATATCCCGTTGAGAAAACCGTGCACTAACCACTGTTTCGTCGTGTTTCTACTCCCGTCCATCCAGGGAAGCCCTCGCGGCCAGAGATGCTGCCAACGCGCTGCCTGAGCTGGGAATTGTGGATGCCATCATCCGCGCGGTTGCTGAGCTGCTGGGGCGTTCACACAACTGGCACAAGATGTTCAAGGACCTCCAAAAGATCTTCACGGCGACAAATCTGGAGATGCAAGGGATTCACCTTGTTCGGTGGCTCAGTCGTGGCGGCGCCATTCTGAGGCTGGTGGCGGTGCTTCCTGCCGTCATCGTTCTGCTGCACCTCTACGACAAACCCATGTACCACATCGTCACATCGTACAAGTTTCACTTTTTCCTGTACTTCCTCGCCGACGTGCACGAGGAGCTCAACAGCCTCAATCTGCTGTTCCAGAAGCGCGAGGTGAGCCATTGCGGTTGCAATGGTTTCCAACCAATTCAAACAAAAAACATACTGCCGTCAATAAAAAAATTACTTACTTCCTCGTGTTCTTATTTCATCCCATGACACCCTCCTACAGATCGACCTGACGGGCGTGCAGTCGCAGGTACGGCGAACGATCGTCTTCATTCGTTCGCGCTACGTCAACTGCGGGCCTAACTTCGGCACGAACAGCGATCGCCTGTCCAAGTTTCTGGAGCGCCACGCCAGCAACCGAGATGTGATCGTGCAGGGCGTCGATGCAGACGGAATGGAGCGAGTGCATCAATTCGAGCTTCACGAGGAGCCGCTGCCAAACTACACCACTGCCCGCGGCGACAAAGCTTCCTGCACGCTCACCTGTCGCTCCTACGCGACCGAGCTCATCTACAACGTGCAGCTGCGGCTCGGCGACCTTGAGCGGCTCAACGGGTCAAAGCTGTGGATGCCCCGAACATGGCCGCGGAACACGGAGGCGAGGGACGAGGAGTGCGCCGAGCACTTTGACAGCGTGGTCGAACTCTTCCACGCCAGCGACCGCGTTGAAATTCTGCCAGGTAAGGTTATCCATGCCAATGTATATTATATGCCCAACTTGCTAAAATATTGCAGTTCCTGTATGAGTGTTGCTGATTTACGAGTGTTGCTGTTCCTGTATGTGTCTCGCAGGAGTCGACAAGCGGCTGGCACGCAAGGAACTCAGCACCCTCGTGCCAGTGCTTGCTGGTGTGCCAAAAGAGGAGCAGCCATTCCATGCCGGACTTGCAGCCATCCTGGAGACCAGCGACTGGCCGCGCAGCTACCCGAATCTCGTGCGCCTGTGGGTGGCTGTGGCAGTGCTTCCTCTCAGCACTGTTGAGTGCGAGAGGGGATTCTCGCGACAAAATGTGATTAAGAGCTGGAACCGGACGAGTCTGTGCAACGGGAAGCTGGAGGATCTGATGTGCATGAGTTTGCTAGAGTATGACATGAACTGGGATAGGGTCATTGAGGTGTGGCGCGGCATGAAGAAGAGACGGCCAAGGAGGGCCCACCAGAGCGAAGTGCGTGCGAGGAAGTCTGCCAAGGGCAAAGAGAAAGTGGTGGTGTTGTCCGAAGAGGAGCATGATGATGAGGCACGAGCGGACGATGAGAACAGCTGCTCCAGCAGCGGGTTTAGTTCTAGTGATGATGAGGAGGATGGTGGAAACTTCTGAGTCGAGCCACATGTATGCTGCAGTACTGTGAATATTGATTATCTCTGGTGTTATGCTGCTGCTATTATTATACTTAAAGCAACATTTTGGGCTGTTTTGAAGATTACCCTGAGGCTGCAGTTAAGTGCTGGATGCCAACCCTGACAAAACAGCATGAACATTGACGTCCAACCCTGACCAGTACACGTGTTTTTAAGGCCTAGCCCTGACTAGACAGGATGCCCAAAATCCTAGCTGAGGCCCTGCTTTGTACGCAAAGTGTACCCGTCTCAACTGAAGAGCAAGTTCGACAGTCAATTCGGCTGATATTTGGCAGTCCAATCAGTTAGTTTTTGTGTTTTCAGGGCGACCTCTCCTACTGGTTGGCGAGCCGTTAAACATCCAGACGTGTCAGGCTCGCCAACCAATGTCGAAACCAAAATCCACATGATGCTATTGATACGACCACCTCGGTGACGGTCCAGTAGAACAACGCCAGCCACGCCAACAGAATCCGTCTGCGTAGCCCTGGGCAATTCCATCATCCGTCTGCCAACAGAAAATCACCAAGTAAGCAACAGAGGGGTCCCAACATCGTTCCCCCCGCCAACAATGCAGACACCACGGGGTTATTTGTATGGCCCAATCTTCGACCTTTTCACGACACCAAGGACGAGCCCGTCAGACCCATGAGGTCGTCCGCATGGCACCTGTACGCCGAACTGCGCTGTCCGTCGGGCAGAAGCTTGCAATCTGCCAATACACGAAGAAGAACCCGACTTTACGTCTCGAAGACATTGGGCGATGGTGCCACACCAGATACGGCCTGTGGCCCGATCGCAGCACAGTCGGCCGAGTTCTCCAAAGAGAAGTGAAATGGTGGGCCATCGGGCCTGAACGCGCCAAGTTCAAAAGGTTGCGAAACCCACCCTGGCCTTTACTCGAAGCTCGACTTAAGAGCTGGCTGAAAAGCACAAACGGTGCTGGCTTGCCAGTGTCGACCGCTCTAATCCAGCAGCGCGCGATTCAGCTAGCACCTGAGTGCAACGTCCCAAGCGACTTTAAAGCTTCTGTTGGATGGGTTCAGAAATCATTGCGCCGAATGGGATTCAAGTGGCGTAAGATGAGCGGCGAGGCGAAGTCTGCCGACGAGGGCGCCGCGCTGACCGCGCAATTGCATTTCCCGAGGCTGTGCGGCCAGCTTGGCCTCACCCCAGAGAACCTCTTCAACTTCGACGAGACCTGCGTCTACTACAGTCTCCTACCCGACCACACTTTCTGCATCGATCCTACCCCAGGGAAGAAGGTTTGCAAGGATCGACTTACAGTCGCGCTGCTGGTAAACGCGGACGGCTCGAAGTTGTTCAAGCCGCTAATCATTCACAAATTTGAACGGCCCCGTTGTTTCGCAAAGCAGAAGTTTGACCCTTCGAAGTACTGCTACTGGCGCGCGAACACCCCGGGATGGATGACTGCAGAGGTGAGTGCGTCGTGTTTAATGTTTACCTTGCAATGTGCCGTGTTCTGTCCGATGCGAAATGAGTCGCGCGAAAGTAAATTTATATAACTTTCAAGAAATGCATCCCATATGCCCCTCGCATGTCTTCACGGCGTTTTTCGAACATATCAACGCGTGCTGCCTGGCGGAAGGAAGACGCATCGTCGTCATGCTGGATAACACGTCGAGTCACCTGCTCCAGTCCCCACTCGCCACGTCAGGTGACATCTGCGGCTTCCGGACACGGGCGCTGTCGCACGTGCGCCTCGTTTACTTGCCGCCGAACACGACACCGTTCACGCAACCTCTGGATCAGGGCCTCATCGTAGCTCTGAAGGCACGTTACAAAGTCGAGTTGCTTCAAGCTGTTCTCGCACAGTGGCAGATACCTGGCGTGACCGTCGCCGCCGTTCAGAAGTGGAAGCCGGAAATGTGGCAGGTGGTTACCTGGGTGTCGGAAGCGTGCCTCGGGCTGGATACCGCGACCATCCATAAGTGTTTCTGGAGGACGCGAATGCTGCCAGCCAGCTGGCAGCCGCTGCTACCTCTCCTCGGTGCCACTTCTGAAGAGCAGGAGCCCCGGCTAGAGGACGACATCGAGCCAGTGCAGCAGCTCATGAGCGCCCTGCCGTTCGGGCCGAGCGACATGATTTCAGCCGCTCGCTTCGTCACCGCCGAGCGTAACGACGAGACGAGCGAGCCGACCGGGGTGGATCCGCTTCAGGTGGAGCCGCTTGGCCCGGCCAAGCGGGACGCTTGGTGGGCGAATGCGCCTCCCTCCCCGGCTGCACAAGACACAGCGCGGAACCGTCGCAATCTGTTGCGCATGGCGACAGAGATGCTGATTGGCTACGCAAAGTCTATTGGATTGGCGCCTCACGATCTACGCGTCTTGTTTGACATCCGCGAACCTTCGGTTATTGATCGCCTGGAGCGCGCATCACCCCGCCTGGACACGAACACTGTGCCCGGCGCGGCGGAGGAAGGGTACCTCAGTCATGTCCGCGGAGCCACAGTCGTCATGACCGGATACCCTGACGCTGGCGAGTGGATGACTTTTGGCGCGCATGCCGCTACCTATCGCGGATAGTAGGCGGTTAAGTTCTGTGCATTAATAGGCGGTTAAATTTAGAGTTCGGGTATGGCGCATGCGTATGGAGGAGCGAGAGGCTTTGTGCTCTCCGTATGACGTTAGGGGCGAGACGCTTGTGCTGTGTTGCACTGAATTGGGTAGTTTTCGTCTTCGTAAGTATGGTTTTCGGTTTGAGTCTTATTTCGCGGCATGGTCTTATGTCGAGTGTTGTCTTTGTCGAGGCAAATCTGTTTGTTGCCTAATAACACAGCATGATTGTCACATGACGCATGAGTTCGGACATTCTGTTGTAACGCAGAGTTGATACACTCGCGCAAAGGCTTGCGACGCTACGACGTTTACTCAATCGCTGCATATGCCAGACAAGCCGCCCATGCACAGTACACAAAAAACAACACCCCATTTCCTGGGAAAACCCGATAGTCCACGTTGCCCCTACCGTACGGCCCGTATTCGTTGTAAGCGAAATCTCTCGCATCGCCCCTCGTGCTCTCAGGGCATATGACCTGTACCATGCATCATCATCAATCGCCCATCCATTGTTTTTACTGTTTACAGTCTTCCACTGGAGTTCTTACCCTTGCCCGTTCGGTCAGCTGAAGAATTCGACAATCTTCGACGACCACGATTAAAAAGCGACTGACCCTCGATCGCAGTTCGACCTAGACACGGTCAGGAAGGACGACGTAATCATTACGCTCGTCACTGTGTTGAAGACCTACAGTCACATCGGGGATTACTTTCAATGACAGTTCGGCCTTCGATATATGGAGGGCATTTCTTTAGAAGGTGGGAGGATGAAAGGATGTCACGAATCTTTACTGGGTTTTGCCACAGCGAGTACCGCCAACAGTTCGTATCCGGAGCCTCGGCCCTCAAATCTCGCGTCAAACCACCCCCGCCGACCTAATCGGCCCCGAACCTGTTACGGAGCAAGGCCTATCCTTGCCTTTTCGCCCCTCTGATTTTCACGAGTGATCCTTCGCGTAACTCTGATTTTCATAGTGCCTTGGAGCTGTAACTCTGATTTTCCAGGGTTTCTCCTAAATTTCACTGATTTACTCTGATTCATGTAATCTCTTCTGCCAGCTCATTTTCTAACCACTAGATGCATACAACTAGCAAAATGTCCGCCCATTGTCACTATTATTGCACTGTTACACGATACCTCCACCACCACGGCAACATCACTCATCCTCATCATCCTCAGAGCCCTCTAAAGAGGCATTCTCACCATCATTTGAATCATCATCTACACTCTTAGCAGGGTTATGGGGGACCTCGTACACAACAGACTTGGCTTGCTTCCACGCCTTCTGCTTCCTCCAGATGTCCACGACTTCGAGGTAGTAGACGACATCGTCGAGCTTGTTGATGGTCATGAGATCGCCCAGCCTTGCGTCACACAAGCTAGTGCGTAGCCAAGACTTGATAATATTATGTCTGCTGAAACCCCTCTCGCACTCAACAGTGCTCAATGGCAGCACTGCCATGGCCTCCCATAGCCTAATGAGGTTCGGGTAGCTCTTGGGCCAGTCACGGGTCTTGAGCATGGCGGCCAGCCCCCGGTTGAAATCGTCATCTGCGCGGTGGTTCTTCATGATGTGACAGAACGTCTTGAGTTCCAGCTCTGCCGCCCATTGGTTCACTCCTGCAATGATGGGGGGGAGGGGTGGGGGAGTTAAGGGGAAGCTTAGTATGACTTACCGAGCACGGTTGAAAATCAAACAAGGGACCAAATGGCATGATGCTGAATGCAGCCAGACCTGGAAGCTTGTTGTCGAAAAAGGGCCACGTTCGATTCCAGCCACGCCAGATGCCGCCACTCACGCGCCTCCGCCTTCTTCGGCCAGCACTCCACCCTGAAGAGTCCCACGCTGCCAAGGCGCTTCAGGTCCCACAGCCGCTGCTCCACGTTGGCGACCAACTCCTTCGTCATCCCACGCACAACTCCTCGCAGTTCACATTGGCTTCCCCCAAACTTGTGGCCAGGGAGACGCTCTTCGCTGAGTTCGAATGCATGACTGCACGGCTGGCCATCGCTGTCCACGCCAGAAATGACGATGCTCTTTTCGCCTTTGCCGAGGTGCTCACGGAATTTCGACAGCTTCTTGCTCATGCCGCCGCCAAAGGTGGTGCCGTACTCGATGTAGCGGTGCCTGATGTATGTGAGGGTGGGGTCCATCTCCTGAGACACGAGAGTGATGTCCGCCTGTAGGATGGTTAACATAAAGAGCAGAGAAGTGCATGTTAATAAACAGCAGTAGCTAACAGGTGTGAATGGTGCAGAGAACATTATCCAGGGTATAATGACAAGCAGAATGGACAGAGCACTTACAATAAATTATACTCAGAGAACTTACCCATCACTTCTGAAAGAACCTGTCTTACCGATCGCTTCTGAAAGAACCTGTTCAAGGTGTTCATCTCGGCGAGGACATCAGCGAGGAAGTAGAGGCTGTAGTGGAACTTCAGGGTCTTCACCACGGCTGCCAGCTTGTGCTTGTACTCGATGAGGACGACGATCGCCACGCCAAGGATGTTGCAAAGCCGCTTGATGGCATCCCCCCGCAAGAGCCACCGGATGAGGTACAACCCCTGGTGCTCAAGGTTGGTGTTATGAATGACGAGCTGCAGGTACTTAAACCTCTCGTACCAGGGGGTGGACCGGCCGACAATCTCCCCCAACGCACGGACTACCGCGTCGATGGTCTTGAAATCTGAGAAGGCGGTGGTGGCGTCCTTGACTGCAAGAGATTCCCTGCAAAAAACGGGAAGGAAATGTGAGAACAAGTTCATGCGCAAGCGTGCCACGTATTCATGCGCAATAGGGTATGTAACCACATATGATCTCACCTGTGCGCGATGCAGTGGATGCCTACAGGGTGAGGAATCTTCACCCGCAGGCGCGCGCCCAGTCCGTTGTACTCGCTAGTCATAATGGATGCCCCATCGGTGCTTATTCCAGAAATCTTCTGTAGGTCGATGCCAAGCGAATCCAGGTGTGACAGGACGACAGACTGCAGCGAGGCTGCGTCACATTTGTCGATGGTGAGCAGTTCAAAGAACTCCGTGACCACCTTGCGCTTCCTCAGGAACGTCGCGAACAGTATCAAGTGTTTCCCCCGCGTTTTGTTGGTGCTTTCGTCGCAGCTGATGCCGATGAAGGGCGAGGCGTGGATGTGTGTCATCTGCTACGCCTTCAAGAAGGCCACCATGGCCTTGACCATCTCCTTGAAGCCATACCTGAGAGGCGTACAGAAACAAGAGTAGGTTAGTTTTTAGATCGAGGCCAAGGGACATCAGACGTTAAAAAGAAGGACTGCACACGGTGTGGAAATTATGAGGTCAGCGAGATCTAGGGTAAACAAGGACTGCAGTGGTGAGTTGAATACGAACTCACTGTGTTATGTAGACGCCGTAGGTTTGCTTCGGAATGTCCCTCACTCCCTCCCGCGCTAGGAAGCCGACGAGCCGCGTTAACATGCTGATGGGTGCGTCCTCCTTGCAGATGAACAGCATCTCTCGGAGTAAACGAACGATCCGCGCGCCCTCGGGGTCATTCGCAGCGAAGTCCTCCATTTTCTTCTGACGTTCCACCTCCTTCAGCAGCATCTCTTGTTTCTTCACTGCGTCCTCGTGCTTCTGGCTCTCCAGATGCCAGCGCATCGACCCCATTTGTAGATCTCGACCACCACTGCCCTCGCGCCCATATCTTGCGTGCAAGGGACCGTGATCCATGCAAACATTGCAACGCAAGCACGGGATTCCATCGTCAGTTTTATCAAGGACCAGCCAGGGAAATTTTGGCAACCAATCGTTGGTGTATTTGCGTTGCGCCTTTTCATATGCCCTCGCACGTTCTCTGCGATCGTAGGTTTAACAGACAGCACAGAGACCGGCTCTGGCTGTGGCGGCGTCGGTGGTTTAGGCGGAGGCAGTGCGAAGGGCAAATGCAATTGCTGATATCTACGCCTTTTCTTCGACGTCGATGCAGTAGAGGTGGGGGTTGTCGCGGCAGGAGGGGCAGGGGCCTTCGACGAGGGAGTAGCAGCCGATGGGGCTCTCGTGGCAGGAGGAGGGGTAGGGACGTTCGACGCGGGAGTAGAAGCAGGTGGAGTTTCCGTGGCGAGAGGAGTGGTGGGCGGGGGCTTGGCGGGCGAGGCAACCGTCTCGGTTACCTCGTCGAGATCTCGCTCCCCACTCTTCGCTGCTAAGAGATGGGAGGGGTTTCTAATACGCATGAGCGGCATGGGTTCGACAAAGGAAATCAAGGCCACTGAGGGGTGTGCCTCTAAACGAACACTTAGCACTAGGATCGCCCCCCCCCCCCCATCATCCTCATCGTCCGAGTCTCCCATGACGGACTCTGGCGGGGAACGACTGAGACTAGGAAAATCGTTCTGACTCAAGACTAGGAAAATCGTTCTTCTCTAGCGGTTGTGAGAGGGGGACTCTCTCTTGCTTGGGACAAGGGAGAGTCGGAGGGGACAATGGTTTCTTGCAGTGATGGATCGAACTTGAAGGGAAACAGCTGGCTTTACTGTCTCCTCAGGCACGGCCCGAGAGGGGAGGTGCATGCCACACGAGCAGCAATGCTAGCCGCATCTGAGTGCGCTGCCGAGGCGATGTGCTGGCTGCTGCTGCCACGCAAATTCTTTCCTTAGTGCCCAATGGGCACACGGCATTCTTCCAGCAGTGGCAATTTCAGCTGCCGCACGCTCGATTCCTGCCGATGCCGCGAAAGAAGATGCCCAAGTGTCCAATGGGCAGAGAGGCATCTTCCAGCACGATGAATCTTGGCTGCGAATGACATGTGGTCAGCGAGCAGTGCGCGTGAAACCGCCCAGGAATCAAGGCCACACGTACAAGTGTCTTTAGGGAGTACATGGAAAATCTGGGGGTATGCCCCCTATAGGAAGGGTGGTGCATGGACCAACTCTGATAAATCAGAGAAAATTCTACTTTCAAAAATTATACCCAGAACCATCGAAGTGACCTACAAAAAACAACTCTGATTCTCAGAGAAACAGAGTGAATTACCGTACTCTGATAAAATAAGGCCTACGGAGGCGCCTAGAACCCAATTTGACCCCGTCGCCCTCGAGACTATCGAGCCCTTGACTAGTCCAACTCTCGGGGTTCAACCTGGTCAACTCGCACTATATAAAGCCCTATGCCTCATTCGTATTGACAATCCTGAGTTATATTTCATAACAGCTACAAGAACAATGACAGTAACCTGGCAGGCTGGCACAGCAACAAGAGCACGTCCAGTGAGTCAGTGGGGCTCTTCCCAGATGAAACTACACCCTGAGCTGGCGTAGCCAAAGACACCGCATGCGATGCACCTCTCGCGATGAACCTCAAGCAGGCACGCCACCAATAATAACTCAACTTGATCACCAGTGCCCCTGTGGCCTCACGTTTCTCTCCCTCCAACCACTCTCCACACCTCCCTCTTCATGTCTCTGACATTCCTTTTGCTTCCGACTCTCTCCTGCCTTCCACTCCTGTCTCTCATCCATTCTCCTACTTTGTCTTGCCGGCACTCACGCCATTGCACTGCTGCCCTTCACCACGCACATTGCCACCGGACGGAATTTCCGCACCAGCACCAGCAGTGGGAGCAGTGTGAGGCAGAGTAGCAGGCGGCAGAATACCAGCAAAGGCACGAGAGGTGCCTGCGGGAGCAGCAGCAGCAGCTGAAGCACCTGCTGAAGCAGCAGCAGCAGCAGCAGCAGAGGGGGGCAGGGAGAAGGAGGGGAGGGAGAGCGAGCGGGGCTTGGCGTGCTGTAGCGAGTGCATCTGCGGGGAGCGGCGGCGGTACAGCTCGGAGGCTGCCTTCTGCCCCTTGGGCACGCCGAAGATCCAGTCCAGCACGTTCAGGTACTTGGACCGGAACACGTCGCGCTCGCTCTGGTAGCACTGCATGATCACCCCCGCTGCCGCCGCCAGCAGTGCCACGTCCAGCAGCGCGTGCGGCTGCAGCACCGCTGCTGCCACGGGCAGCACTCCGCTCAGCGACTCCCCCACCGGGCCCGCTCTGCACCCCCCTGCGCGTGCGCTCCCTCCTCCTGCACCTGCGGCTGCTGCGGAGGTAGTCTTGGCAGAGAGGTAGCGCTTGGAGAGGGCGGGGAAGAGTGCCAGGGAGGAGAGGGGCGGCAGCCAGCCCCAGGAGACGGCGCAGATGAAGAAGGACTCGATGGCGCGCGAGAAGCAGTAGAGCGCCAGCTCCATGCGCCGTGACTTCTTCTCCAGCAGCACCGCCAGCCCGCACAGGAACTAGAGGGGGGAAGAGGAGGCGGGAGGGAAGGGGAGGGGGGAAAGAGGATGGGGTTCATGGGGTGGGTAGAGGGACGAGATGGGGAAGCAAACGGGAGAAGAGGTACATGAGGGGAGACGTGGATGAGGAAGTTGGTAAGGCAAGAGTGGCAGGGGGCTTCTACAAAGTGCGCACGTGATGTGGTGAAAAGCACATGAAGGGCAAGCCGATGGCAGGGAACCCCTGTAACAGTCGTTCTACATACAAACTCATCTATTTTTTATAAGTTTCCTGCCAAAAAAAAACTATCTCCCACGAAGCACCTGGCGCCTATCATACACCCTATCCCTTGCATTGTGCCCCATGCCCCCCCCTCCCCCCACATGCTTCCCGCACTCACCGCGCCACCAGCCATGGTCGCCCGCGTGCACTTGCCCACCAGCTGGTGAATGTTGCATGTCCAGAACCTGGCACACGCAGGCAGCATGCGTGCACTTGGGCGGCAGGGTCAGGGTTGGGCGGCATGGATGGCAATTAACAATATCGGGTAGCATTGGGCCATGTGACGGCACAACATTGTACGGGAGGAAGCAGAAATAGGAGGGGACTAGAATGAATGGGGGGCTGGCTAGATAGGCGAGAGAACAGAGGCCGAGGATGGCAAGGGAAGGAGAAGGAGACGAACAAGCAGGCTCGGGCTTGCATGAGCAGGCTCATGGAGGTCGATGGATGGGGAAGGGGTGGTGGATCGCAGTCAGAAACAGATGATGAGAGTTGAGAACGGGAGTGTGGACTTGCAAAACAAGCCAGGGATGAGAGATCAAGATAAAGGGCACAAGGCCCAGGACTAGACATGGCAGAAACGCTGAGCGGGCCTGGCATGAGCCAACTGGCAGAGCTCCTTGACCACAAGACCACCGTCGCTCTCCCTACCACATTCAGGTTAGGCCCTTCCCCTCTCTCCTTCATCACTCCTACCAACCCAGCCCTGCCCCTCCTCACCGCCACACGAACTTGCCCAGTTGTGGCGGTGAGGTGGGGCAGGGCTCGAGGAGTGATGACGGAGAGAGGAGAGGGGCCAGCCAAGAGTGTGATAGGGGGGGCGATGGTGGTCTTGTGGTCAACGAGCTTTGCCAGGGTCCAGCTGAGCAGAGCAGGCTCGTGCCATGTCGAGCCGGTCACGCAGTATCCCCGGCCCGGCTCACCTCGAGCCGGAGCCGGATCGATTTCGAGATGGCGTGGATCGGCTCGACTCGGCTCGGCTCGACTCGACTCGACGGTGGCGGACATTGTGAGGGGCAAAGGGAAGAGCGCTCAGAGTGGTCTAGGGGCTTGGCGATGTCCGCCCGGCAAGGTATCGGGGCAGTTGGTGGCTCGTGAGCTGCTACCGACCATGTGGCAGCACAGGTTATGGTGCCCCTTCATACTGTGGGCGAATGAGAGAATGCGAAAACACACCTAAACAAGGAAAGTTGTGTTTTCCCATTTTCGATTTTGGCCCCCTTGGGGTCGAGTGGCACGGCTCTGCAATGAGCCGAGCGTGAGCTGTCGACGAGCTGGACTTGAGCCGGCTCGACCCCGGCTCGAGCCATGTTGACGTGTCGAGCCGAGCCAAGCCGGCGGCACGACCGGCTCAGGCCGGCTCAGTGTATAGCCCATGTGAGAACAAAGCACAATGCACCCAGGAGGTTTGGGTTGGAACAATGCAGTGAGGGAGGGAGGGTGCGCCGCACCATGCAGTGCCGCAGTAGGTGGCGAGGAAGAGCGAGGAGCGCGCCGCTCCCACGGCCGTGCGCAGCGCAATGGACAGCGGCCTGCGGGGAGAGGGGGGTGGGAGGGAGGAGCGGGAAGGAAAGGGGTGGCGGAGAGAAAGGGAGGATGAAGGAGGATGTCAAGGGCTTGCAATTCTGGGTTTACAGACATCCGGTCCTAACAGAGGGAAGCATACACAAGAAGAGGGTGCACGCATGAGCTGGGGGGGGAGTGGAGAGGAAAAGAGGGAAGGGGGAAGGCTTGGGGTGGAGAGATAGGATAGGGTGGGGGAGAGAGGTGTATGGGGGGGTGGGGTGGGGTGGGGGGCTAAGGGGGGTAGAAGCATCAATGGGCGCTTACTTCTGGAGGAGGGAGGAGCGGTGCACGAGCAGGGCGGGCACGAGGTATACGGGCACGTAGACTGGCACCGCTCGCAGGTAGGCCCCCCGCAGAAAGGACAAAAAGTGCAACCAGCACCAGCCACCCGGGTGAAGAAACTGTAGAATGGCAGGGCAGGGAGAACAGGGAGGTCAGGGAGGGCAGGGAGGGCAGGGAGGGCAGGGAGGGCAGGGAGGGCAGGGAGGGCAGGGAGGGCAGGGAGGGCAGGGAGGGCAAGGCAGAGCAGGGCACGGCAGGGCAGGGAGGGCAGGGAGGGACAGAAAAGAAAGGGAGGGTTGGGAGAGGAGAAAGGAAGTTGAGTGGGTGAGACATGAACTTCGGGTGGAGTGGGAGCTGGTGGAGAGGGAGGAGCGGTGAGACCAGACGAAGGGAGCAGTGCAGAGAGGCTCAAGCGGACACGCGGCATGGATGCGGGGCATGGATGCGGGGCATGAGAAAGAGAGACACGGTGATGAAGTGCAGATGCGGCTGCAGCGAGCGAAGCCAGGAGGGAGAGCACAGAGGCAGTAGCGCGGAAGTCGAAGCCTGTGAGTGTTGCATTACATATAAAGTCTGGTGTGTGTGGTGCGAGTGGTGTCTGTGGCGCGGGTGACTCACATCGCAGGGAATCACAGTCTCATGCGGCTTCACCACCCGCGTCCACGGCAGCTTCATCCCGCCGCTGCTGCTGGCCGCGCCCTTGCCGCGGAGCATGGTGGCGATGTCAGCGGTGCAGGCGGGCGACATGCCGCCGTCCAGCGCCATCTCCTTCATGGCGCGGTACACGCACAGCGGCTTGCCGCCGTGCTTGTTCAGGAACGACACGTACGTGGGCGGCAGGCTGTGCGGCTCCAGCATCCACGCAGACCTGCTCACAGCAGATTGGGGCCCCGGTGGGGGAGAGAAGGGGCTGCTGATGGTGTGATGGAGGGAGAGGGCCGCTGGGATGGGAGGAGATTGGGGGGAAGGAGGAGGCATGAAGCGGGCGATAGACAGCAGCTGGCGGAGTGGTGGTGGAACGAAGGGGGCGAGAGAGAGAGGACAGTGGTCTGTGAAGCTGCAAAGGCGACGTGGCACACGACACATGGCGAATGGCACATGGAACATAGCATAAAGCACGTTGCGCAGAGCAGGAGGCATGTGGGCGTGTGGGACTGACAGGATCTGCGCGGCGGAGATGCACATGAGCAGCGTGTCGCCGTGCTGCCACGTGAGCGGGCGGAAGAGCCAGCCCCACGAGGGGCTCTTGATGCCGCAGCGCACGGCCAGCACCACGGCGCGCAGCAGCACGTACAGTGCCAGACTCGTGTGCCGCGTGCCCGGCCCCGCCAGCAGCAGCGACGGCGCCGCTGCTGCGCCTGCCAGCAACGCCCGCCACCTGCGCGTTCTGCACAGGCCGGGGCCAGCAGGTTGGGCAAAGCGGGTGGAGACATGTGGCAGAAAAGTTTTGGGGGCGGAGAGGAAGGGTGGCATGTGGAGCGCGGCTCATGGGCAAGGGCACGAGGGGCAAAGGATGTGGCGATGGGAGGGGTACGGTTTTGTTGTGCCTCGCAGGTGGGTTTACAATCAAACGGTAATGAGGGCAAAGGTGATGAGTGTAAAGGTGATGAGTGTAAAGGTGATGAGTGTGAAGGTGATGAGTGTAAAGGTGATGAGTGTAAAGGTGATGAGTGTAAAGGTGATGAGTGTAAAGGTGATGAGTGTAAAGGTGATGAGTGTAAAGGTGATGAGTGTAAAGGTGATGAGTGTAAAGGTACTGTAAAGGTGATGAGTGTAAAGGTGATGAGCGTAAAGGTGATGAGTGTAAAGGTGATGAGTGTAAAGATGATGAGTGTAAAGGTGATGAGCGTAAAGGTGAGAGTTGAAGGAGAAAGCGGGAAGGGAAGAGTGGTGGTAATGGGAAAAGAATGGTACGAGTCAGTGGCCGCACCGACGATAGGCAAGAGAATAGGGTAATGATTGTGCACTGCAGCATTCCAGGTTGAGACGCACGGGCGTGCACACAATCATGCACACACATGCGCGCGCGCGCACACACACACACACACACACACACACACACACACACACACACACACACACACACACACACACACACACACACACACACACACACGCACATACACACATGCAGGCATGCATGCATGCATGCGCACGCACATCCATGTGCACGTGCCACGTACTTCTCCTGCCCGCCCACGGCCGCTATGCCCTCGTCCAGCACGCAGTAGGAGCCGGCGAATGTGCCCACGAACATGCCGTACCGCACCCCCTCGCGCACCACTCCCAGCACGCCCTCCCACACGCCCACCGCCGCTGCTGCGCCCTTGTCGCCCCTGCACCACACGCAACGCACACAACATCCCCGTTATAAGCATGGCCTTGGAAACAGTCACCGGCAGCGCCCGTGCGTGACAGCTACAACAGCCCACGCGGCCTGTGGACGCACGTATTGGCTGTGGATGCACACATTGCCTGTGGACGCACACCCTGAACTGCAAATCACGGAAGAATCAGAACCGCGAGAAAGCAAGTAACGCGCAAGACAAGTCCGGAACAAGTCAGCTGGAGCGAGAGTTTCGGCACCGTTGAGGTGGCTGCCATTCACCCTCACGTGCGCACGCCAACCATGCCCATATCCCGTCGCCTGCTCCTGCCTCGTCGCTCTCACCTCATTCCCAATGTCCCCCTGCCCCCTGCTCCCCTGCCCCCCTGTGCCCCTGCCCCCCTGCCCCATCAGCGCGCGCTCACTTGGCCATGCCCGCGCGGCGCCGTCGGAGTCGTCCGAGCAGGCTGAACAGCGACAGCCCGCCCCGCAGCCCGGCGCCGATGGCGAAGCCCTTAACGGCCGCCACCAGCCCGCGCTCGATGGCGTCGAAGCCCTCCGCCCACTCCTTCTGCGCCACCTGCCGCTGCGCCCTGCTCTCGCCGCCCTCCGCGTGCCCGCCGTTCGCGAGCTTGTCGCTGCTGCCCGCCGCGCTCCTCCGCACGTCGACGCTCGACGCGAATCTCAGCGCGCGCTGCTGCTGCTTCGCTACCCGCGTCTCGCCTCTCTCGTGCGTCGCCTCACCCCTTGCTGCAGCTCCCGCCGCCGCTGTCAGCCCAACGCGCGCTGTCTGCACTACCTCTGCGCCCACACCGGCCTCTGAATCCAGTTCCAATTGCGGCACGTCGTTATGGTCACGTGCGTTCGACCCCTCTGCTGCTGCGCCGCCCTGGCAAAGCGGGGTCAGCGGCGGCGCGCATGAGCACGTGCCAGGCCGCCCGTGCCGGCCGCACGTGGCGCAGTTGCCGATGACGGGCGAGTCGGGGTCGTGCGACAGCGCCACGAGCGACTGCGCGAACTGATACGGCTCCGCGCCCTCGTCGTCCGCCTGCTGCGGGGAGTCGTCGAGACTGCTCTCGCAATGCCGACCCCCCTGCGCGGCTCCCCCCGGCGCCCTCTCCTTCCCGTTGCCGCCAAACACAAGCCACCCGTTCCCCAAGTCGCTGCTCTCAGCTACCGGCTCGACTCCGCCCGGGCTATCAGCAACTGCGCTGCCCGCTTGGATCCCGGCCGCCGCTTCACCGTCAGTCGCGCCGGGCCCATACTCCCGGCCCGCATTGGTTCCGTCCTCCGCCCGGCGCTGCTCCGCGCGCTCCTCTCCACCCGCGGGGCTGCGCGCGTCGCTGCCGCTATGCTCCCCCGTCCCAGCCATGCCAGCGAGCTGCCTCTGCACGACTAGGAGCCGCTCTAATCACTGCCACAGCTAGCACTGGGAAACGGCCGTCGGCAGAACGGACCGAACAGACAGGGAACCGAGAGGAACCCGTGCGCCGTCAAGTGAAACGATCTGCCGTCAAACGCGTCAAATGCGTAGGGTTACTTGGTTTACCAGTGCTATGAACGATAGCGCCACACACGGGCGACTACCGATGCGCAGTTAGCTGCGTCCTACGTACCCAGGTGCCATGGCCCGAAGGGCAACGCGGAATTCAGGAGCGAGGCCGGGAATAAGAGTTAACGCCAATGTCACGGCTGGAATCTACGACGAATTCGTCGAGCAACGGCAGCGAGTCGCGATCCGAAGCACTCGCACAGATAAAAACTCTCAGATCGCAGGATACTAAACCGAAAAACTAATCGCTGGAACCCGAATAACTAATCCCTGGTGCTGCGTGGTGCTGGGCGAGACAAGCAGCCCTGGCGAGGATCGTAGTCGCTCAACAGCAGTGCAGCAAGCAGCAGGTTCGCTTGAGCTTGCTTGGGCTCACTTCATGGAGGTCAGGGTCGAAGGAGGGTGGAGCATAGGAGGCAAGACCTTGGGCTTTGGTCTTCTACGGTGTTCCCTGTGTGACCCGGTTTGGCGGCGAAGTTGAGTTGAGAGACGGAGGAAGCACTGTTGTAGTGCATTAGGGCGTGGTTCTGCCAGAACAGGGCCCGGCGATCAAGGCGTGTGAACAGGTACTACAGCGGCAGAGGCTGGTCCAATGCGGTTCAGTCTTCGATAAGTGGAGGAGCAGAACACACGACGAAGAACAGAAGTACCTCGGACAACAACGAGCCGAACCCGCCCTCGGTTCCATCATCAAGTGTGATCACGGGACAACTCGATTGAGGTGTATCGTAACCGTCCGATTCAGCACAGCGCATGTGATGTGCGGCAGCGGAATCTGACCACTCAGCCGATGTGAATGGGCGGACGATATCCCTCGAGAGTGGCTGACGCAGCAGCGTGGGGCCAGCCAGATTGCTCGGGGCGCGTGTTGAACGCTCCTGATTGATTGCGCGCTCAACACAACTCCCTCGTCAGCATCAATCTCATTGCCTGGAGATTGCCACGGACCGCCAACGGAGGGAGAATTACTGCCATGGACCGCCAACGAATGCTTTCATACTTTTGTGGACAGGCCCACCTTTCATGGACAGCACATCTAACTTTACCTTCTACCGTGGACCCCATCCATACTTTCATGGACTCCGGGCATACTTCCATGGACGGACGCGAAATTGCAGAAAAAAGGCGTAATCAGAACTGTACAAGTGGTGACCAGGGCCTGAGCTAGGTTTTTTTCGTAGCTCGAACGACTTGGGCCCCTCTGAAAAAACCCCAGTAAAACCCAAGCCGAACCGAAAATTGCTCAGATGAATCAGGGTCCGAGCCGAAAAAGGCCTGAGCGCCACCAATTTTTGTGCGGCCAAAACATTTCCCAAGCCATTACTTCGGTAGGGCTATCGAGTTTGGCCTTGCTCCTTCGGCGCCAGGGCCGTGGGGAAGAGGGGGGGGAAGGGTGACTCACATACCTACGAGAGTGACTCAACCTGTAAGTGATACAGAATGACAAAACCCCGGCTTCCATCAAGGGGGGCTCCCTAATGTACTGGGTTTTTAGAGGTGTGGGGGGAGATTTGGGGAGGGAATTGGGGAGGGCAGCAGGTTGAGGCGGGGGCAAATTTTGAGGCCAAAACAGGTGTGGGGTGGGGGAGACGATTGATCGGGGAGGTGTCGGTGGGGGGTGGGGGGGCGGGGGGGGGGGGGGGGGGGGGTGGGGGAGACAGGAGTGAGGAAAAAGGTCCGGGTCGCCCTGGAATTCCCCTCGGATCAATACGGGTCCCGCGAAATTTCCCCTTATGCGAGTCCGGACTGGCTGGAAAACGACCTATATGAAATACGGGCTACTCTAATAAACACATTGGATTTACAGTCAAGACAATGTGATTACCCTGTTATTTTCAGCCCTGGTGGTGACTGGTGCAAAGAGGAAAAAGAAAACAGAAACTCGGCGCGTCGCAAAACGTCATAAGCTATAGTGCCTGGATACTAGATCCATAACAGAATCCCGCAAGCTCGAAAACGGAAGTTACGATTTCGAGGAGATTGCGCGCTTCGATGAAAACCGAGAATGGTTCAAACAGTCGACCGTTTTTGCGCGCGATGTATAGCATGCCCCCGTTATCCGAAACGGTCGACACCCCCCCCCCCCCCGATTGTACCCGTTTTCGTTTTGATGTACCGAATATTGGAAACGTAATTTCGGGTCACTGTGAAAACATTTGCCGGATCCCAATTCAATTGTTGCGCGAACATGCATTTAATGGGTCGCGATAAAAATCTGCCGGTGCCTGCCTGTCCCATGCACCTAGTGTGAACGCACATGTTGGAGTCATCTGACTCTCACAAGTGTCGGGGTTTACGTTTGGGTTTTGGGGCACCCGTCAGATCCGGGTATCTGGCCAAAGCTACCCGTCATAATCCATGTTGAGCACTCTGTTCTGTCAAAATTCACCCGTCATCTGGGTTTCACTGTCAGTTTTGCCAAAAATCACCCGTTAGAATCCAGGTTCAAACCCTGTTTTTGGAAAAGTTCCCCGTTGGAATCCGAGTTTGGCGAAAACCTCACCCGCTATTTAGTTGAAATCCGGACGTTGTGCCCAAAATGATTGTGCGTGCCTTTTTCGAATGCCGCATCCCTTAATGTGTTGTCATTGTTTGTCATATTACTCCTTATTGGACCCTACACATGCTGCCCAAACCAGTTGCCCCAAAAAAGTCGTAGTGGCATCTGAACCCAACACAAAAACGGGTACAGTCGGGGGGAGGAGGGGGGGGGGGGGGGGGGGGGGGGGTCGACCGTTTTGGGTAACGGGGGCATTCCATACATCGCGCGCAAAAGGGTCGACCGTTTTTTCTCGGTTTTCATCAAAGCGCGCGATTTCCTCTACGATTTCTCTCAATATGAAGTCCCGTACACTACACACCCACGCTTGAAGGCGAAAAATAGGTGTTTGAACAGTATTTCTTCAACAAGAGCCAGCATGATATGCACAAATTTGAACTATCTCGTAATACAATACGTTTATTCATTGTTTGAGAATTCCATGAAAAATAAATGGCTACCTAATAGAGTTAAGGACATCATAATATTGTTTGATAGTTGGTTAACCGGTTATGATCGGCCTTGTTATAATTTAAAGGGCTTGAGCATGTGGTTGCGTCATAGAGATTATCTATAATTAATTCAGAATTTGAAATCAATATATAGATATGCTATCAATAGTTACCTTTTCTTGTTTGTCATTAGATTGGATTTCATGTACAAGTCATATGCGTTCATCGCAATGACACTCTATACTACGTACTACATCATAAGTCGTTTATCTATAGAAGCAGCTACCATATACGCTCCGAGTTCGGAGTTCAACTATACTGTTTAGATTACAGTCCTGATTGTGTGATTAAAAGCGACCGTTGTTATTTGAGGACGAGCTCTGACAAACCACGATCTGTCAGACCTCGTCAATCAATGCGCGAAGCTGGATCCATTTCATCGTGGAAAAAAATCCGGATCCAAAATCCAGCCATTCAAGAAATGCCATATTTTGTAACAAAACAAGTCTTGAATCATATGCAAATATTGTGTTAAGTGTTTGAGAAACACACCTCGATTCGCTTACGGCGTGGTTTTTACATATTGCGCAACTCGCTCAAGTTAGGCAGTTGAGCTTGTTACAATTTTCATAAACTTTTCGAGGTTCCCGCTCTACGACCCTAATTTTCATCAATGCCACAACTTGTCGATTTTTTCGAAGAAAAAAAAAAGAAAAAAAATGTGAACAGATCGACCATATTTTTCGTCTATTGAGCTGTTCATTATAAGAATATGCAACTTTGTGTTGAAACTATGATTGACATGCGTGCGACATGGCGGGCGACGTATGCTCGTACCATACGCCAATGCTGCCGACCATGAACTGTACATATAAAAAAAAGGTCCAATAATTTTGGAAACTCCGTAGTCCCATTTGCCCGTAGCGTACCGCAATATGCATTGTACATCATTTTTTACGAGTATGACCTGTAGGAGTCGCGTTCTAGGAGTCTCTCACATATGACCTGTATGGTTTTGCTATTTGGTGTAATGACGAATTTTAGCGCACTGCGCCTACTATACTCTGGAGTCGGCACTAGTACGTGCATTATAGTAGAAAAAAAATATATTGAGCGTCGCTGCAATATACAAGTCGTATTTGTTAAAGTAGGGAAGTAGGGTTTAGCTAGGTAGCGAGAAGTTGAGCGAGCGAAAAGAGTAAGAACTAGACAAGAGAGAAAGAGATACAAGAAGGGTGTTGTACCCTCTACAGTAGGAACCAGTACTCTATGATACACCTACATAGCCTATACATATATATCTATAAAATATATATGGTGACACACCCCCTAGGCTTGGTACGCGATACGCAGAGAAGATACTAGAGCAGTACTACTAGTCTGTCCATTGGTTTTAGTAGTAATTTAGGTCAAAACACACCACACTCACAGCACGTCTAAGCCCAACACCCCTTAAGCCAAGCCCCACCATACATAGCAGCAGCGGCAGTTCCTTCAGCTCGGTCGACCCCTCGGCGTGCGAAGCGGTGATATCGGCAGCAAGGGCAGCGGCGGCAGCAACAATAGCGACGGCGGAGCCAGCGGCACCTGCGGCGCCGGCGGCGGCTTCGATGACGACGGCGGTGGCGGCGGAGCCCGCGGAACCCGGCGGCGTGGCACGATTGGTCTTCTGCAGCGGAGCCAGGGAGCGAGCCACCCTGGTTGGCGCGCTGGCTGCGTGCGGGCGTGCTGGCCGGCGCGAGATCAGCGCGCTAGCCATCACCGTCCGTGCGCTGGTGCGTCGAAGCCGCCACTGCAGCGCGACGAAGCTACCATGGCAGCGCGTCGAGGCCGCCACGGCAGCATATCAAGGCCGCCATTGCAGCCCGACAAGGCCGTCACGGCGGCGCGAAAGTGAGAGGAGGGGGGAGAGTACCGGACGGAAGCAGGAGGAGAAGGCTCAGCAGGATCACCCTGCAGTCAAACCATGTTGATGAAGGGAAGTAGGGTTTAGCTAGGTAGCGATAAGTTAAGCTAGAAAATAGAGTAAGAACTAGAAAAGAGAGAGATACAAGAAGGGTGTTGTACCCTCTACAGTAGGAACCAGCACTCTATAATACACCTACTTAGCCTATACATATATATCTATAAACAATATATATTGTCAGTATTCCCGTAGTGCAAAGTCCAAGAATATTGGAATAGGGCACTTAGCGCATATGGCGGTACGCCCCGGGCAAATTGGCTTGTAGCGTTCCCAAGAAAGTAGGAGCGCTATCATATGCGCAGCTGGCAGGGGTGGGGACGCTGTCGTATGCGCAGCTGGCAGATGTGGGGATGCTGTCTTTAGTTGCGACAGGGTCTACGTAAGCATGCCGCGAGGTATTCGCATGGTGTGTCCACTCTGGATTTTAGGTGCACACGCTAATTGATGTGTTACCACGACAACAAAACCAGGTTTGACTCAAAACCATCAA